ATTCAACATATTTTAGACCAGTTTTGGTACCAGAAAATGATAGTTTAATATAATATTATAAATTACTTTAATGTAGATAAATGAATTACCAATAATTAATTTTCATCAATTTAAAATTAAATAAATAATTACTTTTGGTCACGTAAAATGTACCACACAATATAATAATTAATAATAATTTTACATATTGTGGTGATAGTGTAATGCACAGAAAATATCATTTATCTACGAAGTAATTTATAACTATTATATTAAGCTTATCGCTTTTCTGTCATTGCCAAAAACTGGTCTAAAATATGTTAGTTATTACTATTTGCCGTCAGTACTCAGTATTAAAATTAATATATAATATTAATTCATACAATGCTACCTATTGGCTATTATAATAAAATTGTAGTCACCGAAAATCCTATACCGTCTATCTGTCTATTCTATAATCAATTCTAATACTAACTAAAATTTGTAAATATATTATATAATTTAATAATTATTTAGGCGTTATCTATATATTTATATATATATATAAAATGGAACCAAAATGTATAACAATTCATCAATTGAGAAAGGCTAATTTGGTCTAAATTTTTCTAAATTGTTCACTAAGTATATGCTTTTACGAAAAATTTTGAAAACCTAAACACCCCACCATAAATACTTTTAATATTTAACGCTAAATTGTATAACCAATATTAGGCGGCGTTTCCACCTACCAGCAACCACACATTTTGTCCGTTTTATCGGCGTAGATATCATTGTTCGAGAATGAGTAAAGTTTTAATTTTGTAATTTTCGTATCGTTTTATAACCAAATAATCTCCTCTACATAGTTACATAGAACTCAATAGTTGATAGTAGATAAAATTTAGTTTTAATTTTTATCCATATGAAATACGACTTCATCATCCATTTTCCGTTGTTGGCGTTACCAGAAAACTATGTGAGTACAATTGTATTTTATTTTATTTTCATTCATTTAATACCTGCGTTAAAAATGAGTGTTAACTTATAACTACATTAAATATAACAATAAAATGCTCATACTCATTTTAAAATTTTAATATCAATATAACTTTTTCATAAAATCTAAATATTTTTTATTTTACATAATCTTCGTATTAATTATTTTGCTTTGAATTTTATTTATATACACAATTTTTTTAGAGATATTACTACTATGTAATTCATTTATAATTAATTATAAACTTGGTGAAACATTGTTAATTAAAATAGTTCTTATATAAGGATTTTATTTATAATTTTTATCTAATAAAATAAATTGTACAAAATCAGAGACATTGTATATGTTAAATATGTCCCCGCATCATCTATGTACAACTATAAAGTCAATTAAAATTAAATTTTTATTTAAAATAATATTTAATTATTTTAAGGTATCATATCTTAAATTATATCTTTTATGTACAATTTTAGACACAAATGAACTACTGACCAAGTTCAGAGGTAGATAGCAAGTGTATAACATAATGTTTAATATTGTATTTTGTAATAAGTATATAATAATGTATAATTGTATCTCTGAAATGAAACCAAAGAACAATAAAATTAGAACCATTATCAGATAATAAGAAGATGATTTTGATGTAAGTCATGTATTACAGTACAAAATATTATTTCTATAACTTAATTCTTAACATATTTTATAATATAATTTAATTTATTAGATTGGAACCAGTAATCAGAAATAATAGAATATTACGAAATTCCATATCGATTTTTAAAGAGGAATTCTTCCAGTGAAGATGAAAGAATTCAAAATAAATTAATTTTCATAATAAAATAAATATACTTTTTGATCGCTATATGTCCACACAATATAATAATTAATAATAATTTTACAATATTGTTGGTGATAGTAATGCAGAAATTCTAAAACTCAAAACACCCGCACCATAAATACTTTTAATATTTAATGTATAATCTGTATACTCAATATTATAGGCTATGTTTTTCTACCAGCAAACCATTACTTTATTTTAGTCCGTTTTATCCTGTAGATTATTGTTCTAGAATAAGTTTTAATTTTGTACATGTATCGTTTTTATTTATGAACGTATAATTTACTCCTTACATAGTTACATAGGAACCAATATTATAGTAGATAAATTTAGTTTTAATTTTACATTTAGAAATATGACTTCATCATCCATTTGCTACATAATGGAAAACTTATGGAGCAATAATTGTATTTTTATTTATTTATTCATTTAATACCTCATGTTAAAATGATGTTAACTTATAACTAATTAATATAAATATTTAAATGCCTCATACTCATTTTAAAATTTTAATATCAATATAACTCTTTTCACTAAAATCTAAAATATTTTTATTATTTTTACATAATCTTCAGTATTAATTATTTTGCTTTGATTTATTTATATACACAATTTATTAGAGATATTACTACTATGTAATCCTTCATTTATAATTAATTATAAACTTGGTGAAACATTGTTAATTAAAATAGTTCTTATATAAGGATTTTATTTATAATTTTATCTAATAAAATAAATGTACAAAATCAGAGACATTGTATATGTTAAACATGTCCCTACGCATCATCTATGTACAACTATAAAGTCAATTAATTAATTAAATTTTTATTTAAAATAATATTTTAATTATTTTAAGGTATCATATCTTAAATTGCTATTCTTTTATGTACAATTTTAGACACAATGAACTACGATCCAAGTTCAGGAGGTAGATAGTACAAGGTATAACATAATGTTTAATATTGTATTTTGTATTATGAACAGTATATAATAATGTATAATTTGTATAGCTCTGAAAATGAAACTGAAAGAACAATAAAATTAGAACCATTATCAGATAATGAAGAAGATGATTTTGATGTAAGTCATGTATTAACAGTACAAATATTATTTTCATAACTTAATTTTAACATATTTTTATAATATACAATTTAATTTATTAGGATTGGGAACCAGTAACACCCAGAATAATAGAATATTACGAAATTCCATTGTCAAGGATTTTAAAAGAGGAACTTTCTTCCAGTGAAGATGAAAATGATGACGATATAGATGTAAGTATATTTTTCTTTTAACTTAATTCATTAACATTTAATAATATAAAATAATGTTATTTAGGTTTGAAAAAAATTTCAAGATGTTAAGTATTTGTATATAAATTGTAAATATTATATAATATGTTTTTTTATTTATTAATGTAATATATGTATTTAATTTTTATTTAGTATGTTTTTTTTTTTTTAGAGTTTATAATGTATAGCAAATCTAATGGTATATGATTCATTCAAACTGGTTCAACCAAAATTGAATGTTCTATATGAAATTGAAAATTTAAATTTCATAAAAAACTAAATATAGGTATAAAATAACAGTTATCTAGTTTAAACTAAATCTCAAATGAATATATTGGCTATAAAAAAACATGATTTTAGGTTTAAATTTTCAGTGATAAAATTACACTAATTACTGAAGAACTCATCATGTGTGTCATATTATATTTTTATGTATTGACTAAAGACTAATGAGTAATGACTAGGGCTAGGATTTTAATGCAAAGGCATTTTTTTTTTTTTTGTGTGTTTTGAAACGTTGGTCTGTAAATATAAAATGTGTTTTGGGTGATATTGATTATTTTAAGGTATTTATTTTTTTTGTATTTTTTGACAATTTTAGTGCATTTTCTTGGTTTTTTACAGCATTTTCACAGTTTGTTCATAAAATGAACAAAAATTGTTGCAATTAACAAGAAACTTTTGGCAAACTGCCGACGGTACGAATAATAAATTATATAGTACGACAAGTTATTATCGATTATAATTTTTTTTTTTTAATTATTATTTTAGAATGAATGATTAAGAAAACAAAAGTACAACAGAACTTAATTCTTTAACATTTTATAATATAAAATTTAATTTATTAGGATTGGGAACCAGAAACACCAAGAATAATAGAGTATTACGAAGTTCCCTTATCTAGAATATTAAAATAGGAGCTATCGTATTCTTCCAGTGAAGATGATATAGATGTAAGTATATTTTTCTTTTAACTTAATTCATTAACATTTAATAATATGAAATAACATTATTTAGGTTTGAAATTATGGTTCATGATATAACTGCTTAAAATATTCTAAATATTTTATCATGCATTGAAACCAATACTGATGAAATTAAGACTTATGGATTTCTCAAAAAGTAGGTTTATATCATAAACATAAAATTATTTTTATATGTACTTAGTATTTATATATCATTATACTTGATCTTTTTAAAGTTTATTAAGGAAGCAACTAATGAGATTCGACAGAAATTTTTAAGATTTTCTACCGGAGCTGACGTTATTACACAAAATAAAATTATAGTAGAATTCACCAAGGCCATTGGCTTGGCTCATGCACCTGTAGCTCATACTTTTTCTGGTACCTTAGAGCTCCCCTCCAAGTATAAATACTTCACCGATTTTCGAAAAGAACTAAATTGCATTCTCTCATCAAACATTTGGGTAATGGATATAGACGATATAGTGTAGGTTTTTGCATTCTAATTATTTATTTAGTTATCATATAAGTATTGCATATACACCACTTTTGTATGCGTACACCATTTTTTATTCATTTCATTCAAGAAGATTGAAAGTATATTGCATCTTTTAAATAATTTGTTTTTATATGGATAGTAGTATATTTAAAAATACTGTATACAAATTGCATTATACTGAATAATATATTTTTTTTTTATTATCAGTGTAATAGTGTTGTTTGATTTGTATGTATAATTTGAGGTATATATTTTGTAAATAAAAATTCACTCCAGAAAACTGAAAATATGTTGCATCTTGTCATTTGAATAGTTTTGTTAATTTATTATATATGTGTGTGTTTCTTTTATAAATATTAATTTATAAAATAATTACATGATATGAGCATTGAGCAATATATTGTATTATAGTAAACTACTAATATAACTAAAAATGCTATTAATGTTTTATAATATTAAATTCTATTTTCAAGCATTTTATCAAATAATATTGTTTGCTCAATGTATACATTTACTGCATCATAGACATCATTTGTTACAACTAAATTATTTTTTTTAATTAAAATATGACTTAACTCAAAAACAGTTTTAACACATATTAATTTAGAAACTAATACATATTCATCTTTTCACGCTGATATGTCTTCCTTCTATACATTTAACAGATATGATCAGAGTTACACAAGTGAGGTAAATTAAACATGCTAGTTGAACGACCTGATGGTGCAATTGAATGCTTGGTGCTTCAAATTTTTTATGACTATTCTACTCATTCTTTATGTCATTCAGTTCATTCTTAAAATAAAAATTTGAATTTATTTAAAAGTCTAAGCAAAACATTATGAGTTATGACACTAAACTCATTCAAATTATGTTAATAAAACAAAATCTAATTAGATTTTTATTAATTAATGATCTGTTGAAATATCCATCATCTTTTAATGACTAAAATAAATTCATCCAAAATTGACTGCAGTGTTTTCGAATGTTACCCCACCAAGCTTCATTCTTTGGATGATTATTCCTATGCAAAAATTTTCGTATCTGTTCGATATGTCGGTTTTCCGTTCCTGCATCAGTTCTCAATGTAGTAGGACAATCTTTAAGCATACTAACAGAATTCAAAAAATCCACCAATAACTTTAGGGTCTTTACAAATTGGTACCACTTAAAGTCATACAATATAATGAGAAAAAGTAAAAACCATAAATATATCCAATAATAGAAATTCCATTGGGTTTTAGTCATAACTATCAGTGTGCCACAGGTAATTAGGACCTTTATTATGACACTTTCGTCTTCTTAGTCTTTTTATTTTTCGAATAGTTACACCTTCAGGATCTAAGTCATTCAACAAACATTAAACCGTTTCTTATGTAACAGTAAAATCATTATAAATGCACTTCAAATGCATCCATTTGTAGCCATGAAATTGAGATGAATGTTGGACTTGTGATAACAAAAAATCAGTGATAGCGACAAGAGATGAAAAAATTTTTCGGCGAGCAAGAGATTAAACTTTTTAATTTTCTCTTTAAAATGCACAAACTCTTAAAAATACCATCATTTTTATGTAAAAATTCCAAAATTTCTGAATAATTGAGTCCCATATCAAAATATTTTTTAATTGTTTTGTTTAAATTCATAAGAAACAATTATTGATTTTAATTCAATAACTAAGTATTATTTAATATGGTAATAAGTATATAAACTATAGTACGTTAACACCGATAATTAAGACATATAATTTATAATATTAAAAAGCAAATAATCGGTCACGGTTCTAGGACAAAATTTTTAAAGTACGAGCTACTGTCTACCATGCCATTACACTAGAACTGCCACTACAAATAATTATTATTATTTATTAACATACCTTTGACAATAAATAATTCCAATTTCCAAATTTATACTGTATAGTTAATACATGATAATTAACTTGAGTATCTACTCTTTTATCTATGTTACTTAAGTAGTAAGTAGTGAGTTATATGGTAGGCAAGAATTTGAATCCATTATAAAAATTTAAAAGCACCCACAAACCCCATTTCCAAATTTATCTAATTTATAAGTTCTAAATTCTAATTCATAATAATGAGTTGTGATAATCCATAATAACGACTTGTATCAACGCGTACATTTGAGTTGCGTTAAGTGATAATTACGAGTTATAATTGATAGTAATGAATAATTGTTATAATCTATAATAATAAAATTTAAAAAAACATACAGTTGGCTTTTCGACGCTTCCGTATTGTTATCGCCCCGCCATAAATAAATTATATATATTGTACGCCAAAAGCGCTTTTGTTGGACAGTTAGCCCCAATGATTTGCATACATATAGGTTGGGTAATAATAAATACAAAATAATAAAATAAAACACGCAAATTCATATGCTATATAAAATACAAAAGGCACACCGTGCCTTTTTTAGCGCTTAAATATGCACATAAAAACATTAATATACCCTTTAATATAAGCGCTACAAATAGCACTAAAAATTGGAAAATATGCAAAATAAAATTTCTATTAAACATGAAAATTAAGATATATTTAATTTTACTGAATTTTTTTAAATATGAATTATTTGATTTTACTTTAGGCATTTTTAAATTAATATGAAAACACTAAAAAAAAAAAGACACGAAAGTATGTACAACAGTTTACGATCAATCGAACACACAACACATCTAAACGACGGCGGAACACTAAAATAAAATTACTGTGTAAGTCTGTGTTCAGTCATTATTTATTACATGTTAATACGACAGCACGATAATACAACGAATCCGATGATAGTGCGATAGTACGATGTGACTGACACGATTTTAAAAATAAACAATTTATTGGAAACGCACGAAATTGTCCGATTTAATCGACGATAACAACATTCTAAAGGTCCGAGCACATAGAAGTACAGAACGCGGTCTGTTGCGGCGGGCCGTGATATCGTATTATATTATAATATGACTGACCGCGTTTTTAAAAATATGCACATAAACAGCATTTATAACTTCAAACTAGCAAAATAGCTCCTACAATATGTATTTATGTAAAAATATACCAAAAATAGCATTAAAAACCTTAAATTAGCAAAATAGCAGTAAAAACCGTAAATATGCAAAAAAAAATAGAAAAATAAAATTTCGTGTATGACATCAGAGAAATAGGAAACATGTTTGTATCTTACTTTGGATGTTCTAAAACGAACCAAAAAAAATATACATTTTCTAGAAGTTCCGAGCCCAGATAATAATAAATAAATAGAATAATAAATACTAATAATAATAATAAAAGTGGACGTCTCCACACCAACAATACGATATGTAAATAATATAATTGTATATTATAATAAAATAATTACGCCGGATCGGAAGTACTACAAAGAATAGTCGATGCGAACGGCGGTGGTGGCAACACATCGGCGGCTACAGCTAATCAGCCCGACACTCAAAATAGC